GAATATCTTCCCTCACTGGCCGGCATACCAATGTTCGCCAAGATTGAAGGCGAGTTGGCAAAGTTCAGAGATATGATTGAGACCATTAAGGTCTTCCAGGCCTTTAGCAATAGATGCAAAGACCAGACATCAGTCGTGGTGCGTCAGGCTCTGATAGAGCTTGTGCCTTATCTGGATGCCAATCAGCAGGAATTGCATCAGTCGATAGTTGGCCAAAAGCCTCTTCCGGTTTTGGCCGCATTGACGCGATCACTCCTCGATGCCAGCGTTCGTTTCTCGGAAGACCACTCCGATATCACGATTCTTTGTGCTCAGTGCCTTGGTATCATCGGTGGTCTTGATCCATACCGAGTGGAAACAGTCCGTGAAAAGAAGCGCGTCTTGATGCTTTCGAACTTCGCACGGAGAGACGAGGACATCGATTTCGTGGCATTGCTTCTCGAGCAAGTCCTGGTCAAGGTCTTCCTTTCTACCACAAATGCTAAACAACAAGGCTGGATCGCCTATGTTATGCAGGAGATGCTCAAGCATTGTGGGTTTAGTGCACTCCGTGGAGCAAAGCCCCGATCTTCGCAGGCTAGTACAGAGGCCCAGCGCTGGAATGAGATCCCAGAGGCTGTCAGAACTGTGTTAACTCCCTTCCTTGATTCGAAATACTCCGTCAATGTGAACACCTCGATACAATACGAGGGTGCGACATACCCGATATTCAACTCAAAGATCAGTCATGGCACCTGGCTCCAGACCTTTGTTCACGACCTACTGCGAAAGGGGCAGGGTGTGAACGTTGAAATGGTATTCCCTGTTCTAGCCAGAATCATCAAAGGATACGATCTCTCGATAGCTACCTTTATACTTCCATTTGCAGCTCTGAATGTCATCGTATCAGATAATGATGAGAACATGGAGAACGTAGGACGAGAGCTTTTGCAGGTGCTGCAGGCAGATATACATACCTCGGAGCAGCACGAAGTTTCGATCATCAAGCAGTGTAGCGAGGTAGGATCTTACAACTACTCCATCGAATGCATTTGCTAACACCTCGCAGAATGTCTTCCAGACATTGGATTATCTTTCTTCGTGGTTACAAGAGAAGAGAAAATCCGTCACTGACGCGAGAACGATGGCAGGAAAGACGGGGCGCGGTGTTTCCGAGGACGACGAGATGAACGCCATCAAGCAGCTCAGTCGCGTAGAGGGAATTCTCCAGCTCATTCCGGCGGAAATCATATCTCGAAGAGCTGTAGAGTGTGGTTCGTACGCTCGTGCCCTGTTCCACTGGGAACAGTACGTGCGCCAGCAGCGCGACATGAAGGCTGAATCAAACCAGCCATTCCAAGAGAAGGACGAACTGTTACAACATCTGCAGATGATCTACGCGCACATCGATGAACCGGATTGTATCGAAGGAATATCAGCTCATCTCAAAATCCTCAATCCCGAGCAGCAAATCCTCGAGGATCGCAAAGCTGGGCGGTGGACGGCGGCGCAAAGTTGGTACGAGATTGCACTTGCTGAGAGACCGAACGATGTCGAGACCCAGATCAATCTCCTCACTTGTTTGAAGGAATCTGGTCAATACGGTGAGTCAGTACGTGCATATCTCACGAAGACAAGCTAACGAAGATTCTAGACTCCATTCTCAACTATGTAGACGGCGTCCATGCGACTAACTCGCTTCCGAGCAGCACGTTACCTTTCGCAGCGGAAGCGGCTTGGTCTACTGGCAAATGGGAACAGCTCGAACGCCTTCTTACTGCTACCGGTAGCGATGATTCCAGTCTATTCGCGGACTTCAACGTTGGGATAGGCAGAGCTCTGTTGGCATTGCGCCACAACAGCCGCCCAGACTTCCAGGGCATCATTGAAGAGCTACGAGAACTTCTGGCGAAAAGCATGTCGCCATCAAGCACAACGTCTGTGCAGGCATCACATGATCATCTGGTCAAACTGCATGCACTATACGAGGTTGAGACTATAAGCGGTATGGGTAGTGGGATTGTAACAGACCGCGAAACCATTCTCGAAAACTTGGACAGACGCTTGGACATCATTGGGGCGTACACATCAGACAAGCAATACCTTCTGGGACTACGTCGCGCCGCTATGACGCTATCTCGGTCAGTATATCTCACCTGGCATTCGTTACGGAAACTAACAGAGAATAGCATCGAATTCGCAAATCTCGACGTTGCCTCCGCGTGGCTCACGACCGGAAGGCTGGCTCGCAAGGGAGGCTTCATGACTACAGCTTTCAATTCAGTTCTTCATGCTGAGCGACTTGGAGACAACGCGTCTAAGATTGAGTACTCAAAACTTCTATGGAAAGAAGGCCATCATCGCAAAGCGATACAAAATCTTCGTGGCGCTATCGACAGCAACGCGTTCCAACAAGAAGACACAGTGCCGATTAACGTCTCCGTAACCACAGCCGGTCGAGGCGAAGAGCATTCGATGAACAAGGTTAAGTGCCATGCTCAACTATTGCTCGCTAAATGGCTAGATCGCGCGGGTCAGACACAGTCAATGTCCTTGAAGGAAGAGTATGTGACTGGAGTGCAAACCTATCCTCGCTGGGACAAAGGTCACTACTACCTGGGTCGATGGTATCTGAAGCTACTCGAGTCAGAGAAGCAGCAGCCGATAACAAAACAAAGTTCCGAATACCTTGCTGGTAGTCTCATCAAGTTAGTCATCGAGAACTTTGTCCGCTCTACGGTATACGGGACAAAGTACTACTACCAGACCCTGCCTAAGATACTTACGCTGTGGTTGGACATGGGTATGGAAGTTATGAGCAGCACACCCAAAACCGCCAAAGACAAAGAGTTTCATGAGCATCGGCTCAACTATCTCGACCACATCAACAAATACCTCAAGCGCTACGCCGGAGAGCGGATGCCTGCTTTCGCATGGTACACCGCTTTCCCGCAGATCATCACACGCATCAGCCATCCGAATAAGAGCGTTTGGGATGCTCTTCAGACGATCATCATACGAGTCGCGTCGACGTATCCGCAACAAGCGCTATGGGCTTTGCTCGCTGTTCTCCACTCCACGCAGGATGACCGCAGAGCTCGGGGCGCTACTGTATTGCAACGACTACGCGTAAGTTCTCGATCTGGTCAAGATCAGAAATCAGCTAACAAGAAGAAGGACGCATCGAAGCGCAAAGGCGCTGCTATCGATCTCAAGGCCCTCATCATTCAAGGGCAGCGGCTTACTGACGCACTACTGGCGGCTTGTGATGCCCCCATAGAATCACGGATAGCACACGTGAGTCTAGCAAGGGATCTGGGGTTCCAACACAAGCTTGCTCCCACGCCGTTGGTTGTTCCTATCGAAGCCAACCTACTTCCAAATCTGCCTGCTGGCAACGACAGCCAAACTATCCGCCGTCACAACCCATTCCCAGCCGACGCCATCACCATTCAATCCTTCGACGACGACGTACTAGTCCTATCCTCTCTCCAACGCCCCCGAAAGCTCAACGTCCGCGGCTCAGACGGCCGCTCCTACGGCCTCCTCTGCAAGCCCAAAGACGACCTCCGCAAAGACCAACGCCTCATGGAGTTCAACGCCATGATCAACCGCGCCCTGCAAAAAGACATCGAATCCAGCAAGCGCCGCCTCTACATCAAAACCTACGCCGTCACGCCTCTCAACGAAGAATGCGGCGCAATCGAATGGGTCGAAGGCCTCAAGCCCATGCGCGACATCATCCTCCGTTTCTACCGCCAAATGGCCATTCCCATCGACTACGGCGAGATCCGCCTCCTCCTCAACGAAGCCTCGTCGTCCCCATCCAAAATCCCCATCTTCACTGAACGCATCCTCGGTAAATTCGTGCCTGTGTTACATGGATGGTTTGTTGAGACGTTTCCCGAGCCGGAGGCGTGGTTCGCGGCGCGTCTGCGATACACGAGATCTTGCGCTGTGATGAGTATAGTCGGTCACGTCCTCGGTCTGGGAGATCGACACGGCGAGAACGTGCTGTTAGAGCAGGGCGACGGCGGTACCTTCCACGTCGATTTCAACTGCCTCTTCGACAAGGGTCTCACATTCGAGAAACCCGAACTCGTTCCCTTCCGCCTCACGCACAATATGGTCGATGCCATGGGCCCCCAAGGCGTCGAAGGCCCCTTCCGCAAAGCCGCCGAACTGACGTACAAACTGCTCCGCCAGCACGAAGACACGCTCATCACTATCCTAGAGACCTTTGTGCACGACCCCACGGCCGATTTCCTGGGAGGCAAACGTCGTAAGAAGATTGTTGGCGTCCCGGATACGCCGCAGGAGGTGCTGGATATTACTAGGACAAAGGTGAATGGGTATCTCAAGGGGGAGAGTGTGCCGTTGAGTGTGGAGGGCTATGTTGATGCGCTTATTGCTATGGCGGTGGATCCGATGAATTTGGCGAGTATGTATATTGGGTGGTGTGCTTTCTTTTAGGGTTGTTGTGTTTCGTTTTAAAAGTCGGGGTATGCGTGTAGGTGTGTATGTCAGTATCGTTACTTCGTTCTATAACTAGATCAGTGTTAGCAATCAGTATCGTTCTTTACATCGCATACCTCTAGACCATGCGCAAAGCTGTCACCCCGATTTCCACACCCTGCAGACAAGACTCCGTGCATATACAATTGGCATTACAATACGTAATTGTAAAATAAAGGTAGGTACTCCCATTCTCTTTGGAACCCGGATAAAAAAAAAAGAGACCAACGCCTGTAACAAAACACTCGTTAAGAAAAAGAGGTTGATGCTACCCAAAAAGGGACTCGCTCGAGCGGATATTCAGTCGTGTAAGCATCGTCTTCGTGCGATCGTCTCTTGCGTACCCTCGGACCCAAGCTTGCTTCTTGCTCCCATCAGATCAAAGCCGTAGCATGTCTGTCATTCGCATCCATAGCATGACCACTGCCCCCTCATGTGCCTGACAATCTCAGTCCAAAATGTCCATCTCCTCTTATTCCCTCTCTCTCCCAGACTACACCTCCTTTCTAGCAGCACTTCCCGCCCATACCCGCGTTTCCGTCACCTTGCCCGCTAACATCGACCTTGGGGGCAGCCGTCTGATCCGTCCTGGCGGTATCGATAAGGCGCTTCTTGATGTCACCGGCGAGACTGTAAAACGCCTGGTCGACGTTGATGTTGCTCTTGGCCGAGACCTCGAGGAAGGGGATGCCGAGTTCGTCGGCGAGGGCCTGGCCCTGTTCTGTGGAGACGGCGCGCTTCTCTTCCCAGTCGCACTTGTTGCCGATGAGGATCTTGTTGACGCCTTCGGTGGCGTGTTGCTCGACGTTGGAGAACCATGTGCGGATGTCTGGTTACAGAGTTAGTGGGTTCTTTATTGAGGACTTCATGCTTCCTGAGCTGGGATGGTAGAAGGTATGTGTGCGTGGGCGGCGGGACGTACTGTTGAAGCTCCTTTCATCCGTGACGTCGTAAACTAGCAGGATACCCATGGCACCTCTGTAGTACGCCGTGGTAATGGTCCGGAAGCGCTCTTGGCCGGCGGTATCCCATATCTGCAGCTTCACGCGCTTGCCGTCGAGCTCGATGGTGCGGATCTTGAAGTCGATGCCGATGGTGGTGATGAACGAGGGCGTGAAGGAGTCTTCGCTGAAGCGCAGCAGGCAGCACGATTTGCCTACGCCCGAGTCGCCTATGAGGAGTAGTTTGATCTACGCGGGGGAGTGTTAGTGTGGGTCTGTGTATATAGGCGGTGGAGGGGCGTTCAGGGTCCAGCATGTATGCGGAAGCTGGGCAGGCGCATGTCAGAAAGAGGCATAGGGCGAAGCTTACGAGAAAGTCATAATTCCTGGAGCCAGCCATCTTGATATGGAGTCGTGGGATGCGTTATCGAGCGGAGGTGGTTGCGGAGTTGGCGCCCGCCGGTTTGGGGTGTGCGGTGGAGCTGGCGGTGGGTGGTTGCGGAAGAATGGCGGTGATAGACTTGAGCCTGATGATATGTTGTATACGCGGGAACAGGCGGGCTTGGGGTGAATGTTGCTGTGTGGTTAACAGCAGGCAGCGAAGTAAACGGCGTGGGAGCGAGTTCACAGGTGCTGGCCAACGTTGGACGTTAGCGCCAATAGTCCGCACGGGCTTCACCACCTCCGTCACTGCAGCTGTCGTCTGCGAGTGACGAGAGGCGGCTGGCTTGGTGGCAACTGCGCATCTGCCTTGACTCGGCTGTCACTACCGGCATCACCACCCAGCACACGAGACACGGTCAGGTGCTGGCGTTGAAGAGCCTCATTTTCTAGGCTTTGTTTTGGCCTCGGTACCTACCCACGCGATACTTGTTGAGCTAGTCTTGGATAGTAGACATCTGATCTGTCATGTCCCGCCTGCACCTATTGAGAACACGGTTCTAAAATTACAAGCTTCTTCGTATGTTTGTATTGAAGTGGGTATGTACGCTGATCATAAATGCGCTGTGACTGGATCATCCCAGTTGCGAAGCCGCCCTCAAGTAAACCATTTCGAGTACGCCCACCTAATGCGCTCAACTACTTTTTGCTGTCGCTGCAGCCCACTTCTCACGTCAACAAGCTCATCTATCTCTACCAGGAAGTCGTGGAAGATGCGTCGGGGTAGTATGCCACTCGCAGCCTGTCGCAGGAGATGCACTTCGCAGAGGAGGAGACCGTGATCCTTGTAGGAAATTTCGCCGTCTTCTGTGGGTGTTGCGCTGGTAAGGATGCGATCGATGTTGCGCAGGATGAGCAGCATGCGGCCCTGCCTCGCCCACATCTGGACGCCTTTACGGCTGCTGAAGACGCCTCGGAGGTATCGGTAGACGCCGATACTGACGAGAACACCAGGCGTCAGACCGATGAAGCCGAAGAGCAACTCCTGGCTCTTCAGAATGCTGTCAATACCGCTCATTGCGACTTCTACATCAACCTTGGTCTTCTGCACCTGGATGAGCAGCGCGCTAGCTAGGTTACCGACTATCGCGCCCTTGACCGGACTTTGGATGTCCTTTTCGTAAGATCTCAAGACCGTGGTCAGATCGCCTTCGCGGACCTTCGCCCTGATATCGGCAATTTGAGTCTCGTTCAAGGCGGGGCCTTCAGGGTTCTTCACCGCAAAGTCAATGACCATGCGCTCAAGGCTTGCGCGGTCAGACTCCAAGCTTCGTTTGCTCATGATGGAAACCTCGCTATCTTCGTTGTGGCGGATGGTACCAATGATCCTCATTGCAGGCTCCACGACCCAATTTGTCCAGAAGTCGATTACAGTCTGTCCTAGTTCGCGTACCCAGGCCAGAATCTCTTCTTTCCGGTTGACAAATATACGCAAGATAGTGGTCGAGGATACGAGGAGCATGGTGGCAGGTAGCCAGTACCGGATGAGGATAGATGGACGTCCGTTCTCCTTGACGACAGCGTTGAAGTCTGAGGTGTAGGCAGGCAATGCTTCCTGGAGCAGATATTGCAGTCGCTCTGCGACATCGGCCGGCTTAAGCGTGGTTGCCGTTCGTTCTCCGGTGGGTTCGTGCAGCGAGTAGAGTTGGTCATCTTGAGTAATGCCAGCAACAGAGTCGTCAAACTTATTAACGGATATCTCTGCAGCGTTCACGCTTTGGATGACGGCGTCCATCAGGGCGATGTTCTTAGCCATGACGCTCTTCCATCTGTGTCCGCTTTGTGCGCCGAGCAGTGGGGGAGATTGGGTGCCATCGTCGTGTACACTGGGATGGTTAGTAGTCGATCACTTTCTACGTGGTCGTTTGGTAGCATACCTTTCATTACCCAGCCCTTCGCCTAGAAGCACACCGAGCGCGTTCGCATTGATGAGCCGTATCTTCCTCAACGCTGCACGCTTCCTCCTGCCTTCATTCCTCACCAGCGCCAACGGGCTCACGACCCTTCGCTGGATGTTGGCAATGCTGCGCTCTTGCACCGCATCCTTGACGAGGCCATAAAACTGGCTCCACCCATCAGCCAATTGTCCACCCCTCGACCGCACATCGCGATATATCTCCTGCGACCATTTCCACACCCGAACCGGCGATGTTTGTATCGAGTATAACCCAGCAAATCGGTAGGTGGACAGGATGTCGTCCCAGTACCACAGATCGTCTTCCAACGGGATAGTCTGTTCCAATATCGTATTCAGAACCTGTCCGTAGACCTGCGTCGTCGCCTTGCTGACTAGCAGCCATTCCAGTTCATGTTCGTAGCTCGCATCCTCGTAGCTGCTGGCGATGTTGGCACGCTGCAGCGTCTCGGATATGCGTGCGATGGACACAAGACTGTGTTTGGATGACGCGGTCGTGGAGAGGGACTTGATGAGGTACTGCAGGTGCGCGATTCGTGTCGTCTTGGTGGGGTCGTGGGCTTCCTCGGCGGTGATGGAGAAGCTGCCTTGTCGTGTCGCCGACAGCTGCAGCCGGTCGAGCTGGCTGTCAATCCGACGCACTTGGCTACAAGTCTATTAGCCAAGATATTGCACCATGTCAGTACTTCCAACTTACTCAACCACGAAAGACATGGCTACCGGCGCGTGGGCTTTCACATGGAGGATGCGGCGGGATTATTTTGGTACGAGGGGATCTGGAGATCTGAACCGGGATGACGCGCCCCCACCCGCCGCCAATGACGTTCTAGGCCTGCCATCAATCCATCACCGCCAGTTGCACGCAGTTTCCATTTCCTGCCACATGTTTCCTTCTCTCCAACACACAGAGACGAGCCAGCTACAAATGCGATGTTTGTATGTGACATGCTCCGACGTCTACCACTCGATAAACCTGAGTAAACCTACTCATCCGATAACGCGAACACATAAACGCCTTTTAGGGGATCAAGCTAATGCAACTGGACTTGAAGACTAAATTGGTATTCGAGTGTATTTGACACGCCATTCCCTTATCCGATGCCTATCGCTCATTCTAACGACGGTGCCTTCTACCCCGAGCAAGTCCGCATGACAGTGAATCTACCATCGCTCGCAGTTTTCTCTATGACGTCGCAGCAAATCTTCTATAATAACAAACAACTATAGCCAGACTATTGAGCGGCTGCAACCAGACCTGGCTGCTGGACGCTTCCGACCGACCGTGCCACAATGCACTCGCAGCAACACCACCCCGAACAGGAAACTCGTCTCCGACCCAAGAACCAGTCTAGCGGTCTCCCCTAAAAGCAAACAGAGGCACAAAAAAACGGCGTCCATCCAATTTCCACAGCCTGTCGGGTTCGAAACAGTGGTAGAGGTGCTAACTAGCGACGCGAGCGCTCATTCGGACCGAGGGCTGATCAGCGACATCGTCCAAATCCGATTCCATGGAACGCAATTGCAAAGCGCTTGCCTCGTCGTCGGAGAGACGGGCGCTCATTGGCTCCAGCACGGGACTTGCTGAACGGGAGAGATCAACTTGCGGCACAGTCAATCTGATACCGTTTGGCTGGTCAGGGGCTAGCAGGGTCCCCTCGTCGACAAGCGAGTCGCGCTTTCTGGGGAGCTTCTGGCGCATGCCTAGTTCGGAGCCTACGCGCTCGATGCTCTTGAAGTACTGAGGAGTGTTAGATGAGAACTAAAAGAGAAGGGTGTCGATGGGCGTACCTTTACGGTCTTGACTTGCAACTCCAATGTGGCGTCTTCGTCGACGACGATCATCGGATGCGGGTGCATTTGGAGGCTGGACAGCGTCCACATGTGGTTCACGCCGCCTTCGATGCACCGCTGGAGGGCTAAGGCCTTGTGTGCGCCTGTGATTATGATGACGACTTCGCGCGCCTGAGGAACGTTAGACATTGTTGAAGTACTTGGTGGTGTTACTCACATCAAGGACAGTCTGCACGCCCACGGTCAACGCCATCTTCGGCACCTGATCGAGGTTGTTTCCAAAGAACCTTGAGTTGGCCAGAATGGTATCGTATGCAAGAGTCTTCACGCGGGTCCGAGACTTGAGGCTGGAACCAGGCTCGTTGAAGGCAATGTGTCCATCTGGCCCGATGCCGCCGAGGAACAGCTCGATGCCACCAGCACGTTGGATCTTCTCTTCGTAGTCATGGCATTCGACTTCCAGGTCAGGTGCATTCCCGTTGAGGATGTTGATGTTCTCGGGTTTCACGTCGACATGGGAGAAGAAGTGCTTATACATAAAGCTGTGGTAGCTCTCGGGGTGATCACGCGGGATACCGACATACTCGTCCTGATTGGGTCAGCATCACTCTATATCACGCTGCTGTGAGACATTGGACGCAAGGGTGCGGCGCCATATGCAGGGCGGTAGTTCGTACCATATTAAACGTGACCACATTGCGGAAGGAGACTTGGCCCGCTTTGTGGCGCTGTACAAGATGCTCGTAGATCAGGACAGGGCTGCTCCCAGTAGGCAGACCTAAGACAAAGGGTCTTTCTGGTGTTGGGGCAAAGGTGTTGATGCGCTCTATGCTGCGGCGTTAGTCGATATTAAGACACAACGAAGGAGCGAGGAATGCACCAATGACATAGTCGGCGATGTATTGGGACGCAGCCCTCGGATCGTCTCGAATGATTAGCCGCCTATAAGCGGTAAGCCGGGTGTCAGAAAACAAAGGTGTGCATGCTCATACATGATGTATGTATTGTTTGTGTCACTTGCAAGGAGTGTGTGCGGAGTGAGGGGTCCAAGGTCATTCCTGCAGCGGGATGAGGGCGATTTCTATGAGGACTTCAACAGCTTCACGTCATTCTGGGGCAGGGTAGGATCGTGAGCTCGATCATCATCCAACGTCTCTTCATCGAAATGACAACGGCCAAACTTTCCGCATCTGAACACGTTCTCTGCAGCGCTCTCTGTATCGGTCCGCATGGTCGCGGTGCGTCATGCAATGGACGGTTGAGGGTGAACGTAGTGGTACAACGCGCCTATCTGCACCACCTTGGGCCGTGGACCCCAGTTCACTGCCATGTGCAATGTTACAGGAGCATGGCGGGGCGTGGTCATCACCGTCGCGTGTGATAGCAGTGGGAACTGAGCCGGGCGTGGGCCGCAAACTAGCCGTCACGGGCAGCCAGCAACGAACATCACGATAGCAGGCGTCACTGATAAGGCCTTGGTGCTGATGGAGTCGCAAAAGGACAATGTTACATTTCTGACTCGGGTGGTGGCGGGCGGAGAGCGTTGCACTTGTGGCTCTAGTGGGCGTCTTCTAGCTCGCGCAGCCCACTCAGCCCAGGACCGGGGGCTCAACCAACAATGTGGTCGCAGGCGCATGCAGATCCATGCATCGTCGATAAGCAGGCCTGCAACGCCCCGCTTTGACCTTCGATGGCTGTCCCGAGAACCACTGACGACGGCCGTCCGGGCACCTGTAGCCGGCGCTCAAGGCTGCTGACGGCGTTGTACATACGGCTGGCGCTGCGGAACACGGATGCTTGTTGCCCTTTGTGCAGTGTCAGCCTGCGCCAGCGAATCCTTGACCGACGGCTGTCACCTTTGTGTGGGCTTGCAGTCGTTTATCTCTTTGTGGAGGCCAGGCTGTGTCGCGTGCTGTGTCCGCCTCGCTACCCCGATGCAGGTTGGCTGGGGAGATTTGGTCGTGAATGGACCGTGTGAGGACCCTAGCTGACGGTCTGCTTAAAACTGACTGCCCCTCGCCTTCACCTTCGTATCCAAACCCTCGTTTAATTATAGTCTGCTGCTACCGTCGTGTGGTCTGAGCGCGAGCATCCAGTATCTTTATTGTAGCCTGTCTGTCCGCACCTTTTACATCAACGACGACGTGCACATCTCCGTCTGTCGCAAGGACCAACTCCGAATCGCGCGCTAATCGCCGGCACAACACCCACACTCACGGGCATCAACATGGCGACCACCGAGGAAAAACAGCCTCCGCACGCGGTCAACTCCCCGGAGCACTCATTGACTGACACCAACTCAAATGAGCTCCCTGCCTCGTGGAAATACAGACGCTTCACCGTTCTCGGTTTCAAGCTGCCATGGTTCGCGTCACCACCCGTCCAGCTCGTCATTGTCTCCTTCGTCTGCTTCATGTGCCCGGGCATGTTCAATGCTCTGAACGGCATGGGTGGTGGCGGCCAACTTGACCCGACTGCCAACAACCGGGCCAACACGGCTTTGTACTCGACCTTTGCTGTTGTCGGCTTCTTTGCCGGCACCTTTACCAACAAGCTTGGCATTCGCACTGCTCTGTCTTTTGGAGGCGTCGGATACTCCATCTACGTTGCCTCGTACCTGTGTTATAACCACACGCAGAATCTGGGCTTCACTACCTTTGCCGGTGCACTTCTCGGTGTATGCGCTGGTCTGCTATGGTGTGCTCAGGGCGCTATAATGATGTCGTACCCTCCAGAGGATTCCAAGGGTCGCTACATTTCGTGGTTCTGGATGATCTTCAACCTTGGCGCTGTTATCGGCAGTTTGGTATGTTTACTTTACTTTGAGACCCTGAGAAGTCCAGTCGTGAACTTGACGCTAACTCTACCAGATTCCGCTGGGTCAGAACATCAACACCAAGACTGCCGGCACAGTTAACGACGGCACCTACGTCGGTTTCCTTGTCCTCACGATCCTCGGCGCTGCCCTCTCATGGACCCTCGTCGACGCAAAGGACGTCATCCGCGATGATGGATCCAAGGTCATCGTCATGAAGCACCCGTCGTGGAAGTCGGAAATCGTTGGTCTCTACCAAACCTTCTTCACCGACCCGTACATCATCCTTCTTTTCCCCATGTTCCTGGCATCCAACTGGTTCTACACCTATCACTTCACCGAGATCAATGCTGCATACTTCAACGTCCGCACCCGCGCGCTCAACGGCGTCGTCTACTACATCATGCAGATTGTTGGTGCCTACGTCTTTGGCTACGCGCTCGACATTAAGGGTGTCCGCCGTACCACTCGTGCTAAGGCAGCGTGGGGTGTGCTTTTCGCGACCATCATGATCATCTGGGGCTTTGGATACATGTTCCAGAAGACCTACGACCGCGCCTGGGCAGAGGACGAGACAAACGAGAAGAAGGATTGGTCCGACGCAGGTTACGCCGGTCCCTTTGTCCTCTACATGTTCTACGGATTTTCCGATGCTGCTTGGCAAACATCAGTCTACTGGTAAGTTCCAACCAAGCACCAACATATTAAGATCGTCATGCTAACAAACATCAGGTTCATGGGTGCTCTGACCAACAACAGCCGCAAGCTCGCCAACTTCGCTGGTTTCTACAAGGGTATCCAGTCGGCTGGAGGTGCCATCACATGGCGTTTGGACGATACCAAGATTCCCTTCATGACCATGTTTGCTAGCAACTGGGGACTGCTCGCAGGCAGTTTGGTTGTTGCTCTACCTGTCATTCTCTGGAAGGTTGAGGATACCGTTGCCATTGAGAAGGACATTGCTTTCACCGACGAGACAGTGGCGGAAGTCGCCCCCAAGGCGGTTGTTCACTCAATGCCTGGTGACGCCGAGAAGGTCTAGTCAGGTCTTTGCACGGTTTTCATGATCGGGACTTCATGGGTAATGACGGTGTTCTTCAGCGGTACT